ATACTGAGGAGAACCGAAAGCACTCGCCTTTCCCCAGGCGGACACAGAGGCCTCATCTCTGACATCCGTGAACCAGCTAGAGAGACGGGATTTGCTGTCTCGGATTTACAGACAGACATAGAATGAGAAACATTCTCCGCCGTAGGACTCCGAAGATAATTTCGCAGCTGGGTGGATTAAAGCATCGCTTCTTCTCAACAGTGAAATTGTTCCTTCTCCTTCTTAATGGACAGAAGTGGTGGGCTCCTCGGGCTCTTGTAGTCCAAGGCAAAGGGGTGCGGCAAGACTATTTTCATAATTTATTGGAATTACTTCTGTGAAATTGATGAACTTCACGTTCTCTGCTTTGGGATGGGGAACAGGGGACAGGGCGGTGGCATTTCCAGTAAGGTCAAGAAACACACACTTAACTGCCACTCTCATCTGTTACTCCCTGAAACCTACCTTCCCCCAAGAGCTTTTCTGCTCTTCTCTCTCAGTGATTTTTGTTTGGCTGCTGCCCAGCTGCTAAGTACTGTTCCTGAGTTCCCAAGAAAGCCGTCGGTTACATGTTGTCCTTGCATATTTTAGGTGCAGGGTATTTGAGGTCATTTTTTACTGCTGACTAATTGTACAGGTGATTTCAGTGTATGAAGGCAGCTTCCGGTCTGTATTTTGTGGAGAACTTACATAGCAGGAAAAGCCTCGGGGATTGGTTTTAAGGCAGAATTATTTGTGTTGCTCCTATAGATGTTGTACTGCCCAAGGGGACACTAAGTGACCACTGGAAAAATAGAACAGTCAATGGTGATTTGGATTTTTGGGGATCTTCATTTTCTTATCAGAAGTAAATGTGCAAGCATCCCCCTTTAACAGGATGGTGTTTATTTTATATTCTTTGAGAATTCAGAAGCATATAAAAGTGAATTATTTCTAAAACAATTCTAAAGAGAAAAGTAATAATTTTGTTTCGGAATGAGTTCTGTTTGTCACAAGTTATTTTCAGTCCACGTGGATAGATTATGGCTTCCCATCTGCAGTCTTCTGAAGCCCTTTTGTGCTAATGCTAGGTTGTCAGGAATCTGCCTGTGGATTCGCCCAGGGGTGGAGCTACCAGCCAAGGGCGGAGCCACCAGCCAGAGGCTCTTACCTTGTTCCTCAAAAGTTAACAGTGATAGTTTTGCCTCCTTTTTTGTGTTCTCTACAGCACCTCACAGTTAGAAGTCACATTTCTTTTTTTTTTCTTCAATTTTTTAAATGTTTATTTTTGAGAGAGAGAGATAGAGCACACGTGGGAGAAGGGCAGAGAGAGAGACATAGAATCCGAAACAGGCTCCAGGCTCTGCTGAGCTGTCAGCACAGAGCCTGACATGGGGCTTGAACTCACAAACCTCGAGATCACCACCTGAGCCAAAGTCAGATGCCCAACTGACTGTGCCACCCAGCCGCCCCTGAAGTCACACATTTCTTTAACTATATTATGCTCCATGAAAATGGGAGAGAAAGAGAAAGAACTAACAAAACTTAGAAAAAGCTTACTGATCAGCTCCGGCATAGTTTCATTTTTGTATAATTCTGAATCCTTTCGCAGATCTTTGAATCTAAGAGAGAGCCACAGCACCCACTGCTATCATCTTGTTACATTCAGTCACAGTGTATTTCTAGAGTGAAAAAAAATATCTTGAAATAGGAGGATTGATCCAGGAGTAGCTGTTTTGTTCGCAAGGTAGTGTGTTCTTGTAACTACAAAAAATTCATTTTTGTAGGAATTAGGAATAAATATATGGTCCTCTTCCCCTTGGCAAGGGAAACTGGTCAATGTACAGCATTACAAACAGGCGTATCACGTTAAGCGGAGTCCCAAACAGCCAATAAATATGAAAAGAGATTCAACCTCAGTCTTCAGAGAAATATGAATGATGGCCAACATCAGAGCCCATTTCCGAGTCCCTATTCCCGTTAATAAAAAGTCTATAGTAAGTGTTGGCAAAGATATAACTGTAGCACACAACTGTTCGTAGGGAGTAAACTGATATAAACACTTTGGGAAAGTAGTTGGTATTATCTACTGAAGTTGATGACGTGCCCAGCCTAGGACCCAGGAATTCCACATCTAGGTGGGTCCACCAGAGAAACTCCTGCATTTGGGTACCAAGAGATGTGTGCAAGAAAGTCCGCAGCACCACTGTCGCAGACAATACGAGGCAGTTCGGGTGCCACCAGCACTAGGTAAATGGTGGTGTGGCTCTGCGGTGGAATGCTTCGTAGCAGCACAAAAAAAAAAATGACTTACAGCAACAAGGAAGAATCTTAGGAGCAAAATGTAAGGGGAAAAGCTCACAAAAAGTTACAGAAGTACACATGCCGTGTGGTTATGTCTCTAAGGATACAAATAAATGCAAAACTATCAAGAAAAGTGCAGGAATAATAAGCACAAAACCCAGAAATGGTTACTTTGAAGGAGGAAGGAGATGGGCTGGGAAAAGCCAGAGTGACTCAATGGGGTCTTCTAACCAGTGCAGTGTTCTTGTTCTGTGATTGAGTGTGTTTATATCTTTTGTTTATACCTTACATGTACTTATTTTATAACTCACACCTACACAATATTTAATAAAGTTAATTACTTTTAAAAAGGTGCAATTTGCCAAATTTAGCATGTGACAATGGGATACCTGTTGTACACCTGTAATAAAAGTAGACTCTTTTGGAAAAATGGTAAATCATGAGTTCCATCCTATACTTATGTTCAATTATTTAAATTTCCCTTTGCTATCAAAACCACCCTGAGATACCACCTCTCGCCAGTCAGAGTGGCTAAAATGAGCAAATCAGAGAACTCTAGATGCTGACGAGGATGTGGAGAAACGGGCACCATCCTACCCTGTTGGTGGGAATGCAAACTGGTGCAGCCCCTCTGGAAAACAGTGTGGAGGTTCCTCAGGAAACTAACAATAGAACTCCCCTATGACCCAGCAATAGCACTGCTAGGAATTTACCCAAGGGATACAGAAATGCTGATGCATAGGAGCACATGTACCCCAATGTTCATAGCAGCACTCTCCACAATAGCTAAAACATGGAAAGAGC